ATGCCGTACTTTCTTCCACTTTATCGCGCACATGAATTAAACGCTTTACGGGCTTCGCGATAAAAAATACTGTAATAGAGATACAATGCAAATTAGCCCCGAGTTGTGGTCTATCTCAAAGAAATTGTGAAGCTAGAATGACCAAAAACAAAAACAAAGTTGTTTATTTTCAAATGGAAAACTAGATATTTTTTAACTCAGTGATATTTTTTAACTCAGATTTACCATTAAATTTCCATTCCACAAATACCATAATGTAATCTACTATACCGATTTTTTTAACAGGACGTACTGTATATTAGTGTCTTTTTCAAAATTCGGTCTACATTAATTTGCATTCTTGTTTGTTATACCGGGTGCGTCTCAAATGTAGCTCACCTCTATAACTTTTTATTTTTTTATATATTAGGATTGATTGACTTATTCAATTGTTTTTGGTCACTTCCTGTTTCACCGGAAATCCCTACAACTTTTGATTTTTAAATAAAACCGTCGGTATTTTGTTACTTTATTCTATGGTAAATGACACTCTGAATAGAATGACATATCATATGTCAACTTTTGACATTTTCGAATATGGTTTATTTGAAATTGCAACATGCGATTCGTAACGACAATTTGACTCGAAATACCAATTGTGTGGTACCAAATTATTCGTAAAAAATGCTTTTTCCAGATATACTAATGAGCCACCCTCGTTCCATTTGAAAAAATTGAGATATGATTAAAAACACGATTTGGGCATTTTTTAAACGACCAGGACAAAACACTAAAAACCTTAAACGATCAAATGTATTTTTCCAAGGCTTCTTGATTAAAAATTAGTGTTCTTAACGTAGCCATGGCACTCTAGATTGAAATTTAAAATACAATTTTGTTTTAAGCGAGAATGTCAGAAGTTGACATATGCTGTGTCATTCTATTCAGAGTGTCATTTTCTATCGAATAAAGTAAAATAATTCGGAGAATGCCATTTTAAAATCAAAAGTTGTAGTAATTTCCGGTGAAACAGGAAGTGGCCGAAAATAATTGAATGCGTTAATCAATCCTAATTTAGGTCATATGCTAAAGTACCAAATTTCGTTTTTTTTTATTTGAACAAATAAAGAAGTTATAGGGGTGAGCCACTTTTGAGTCTCGCCCGGTATACAGAACGAGTCAAAATTGAATATTATATTTTAAATAATATTAGACAACACCCTGTATTTTGTATCATAATCGACCAAGGTTTTATTTAACCTTTTTCTTTTATTCAGCTGCTTCTTTTATTAGGGAGGTGTTTAATTTAAGCACCTCCTATACCTACCTAAAATCGATATTTAATAAGAAAATTGTGTTTTTTTTGGAAAATATAAGACATATCGTCCTATTGCTGCCAAAAGTCACTAACTAACATTTTTCCGAACCCTGAAAATTCAATCACTAACTGTATTTTGAAGCAGAGAATCGATTGAAAAAGTCATTAACTACGATTTCTGGCTATTTATGTTGTATTTTAATACCGAATAGTTAGTAACTATAACATTTTTATGCATTGCAATTCATCTTTAGACGCGTTTTTCTCGGAAGTAATAAAAAGTAAGTTAGTGAATTTTGGCAGCAATAGGACGATATGATCTGACTTTCGATTTTTCAATAAACGGTGTTTATCATTAAAACCGTCATATATACTATATAAATAAAATAAGAAAGTAGAAAATATTTTAATTAACTCAATAATCATTTTTTAACGTGAAAAATTAATAAAAATAACGACAGGAAAAAATAAAATTTATTTTCAAGAAACTCAGCAATCCTTGTAAATTTTGAGACTTTTTTGATAGAATGTTGGCGAGCATCCCAAGAATAAAATCCGGACAAAATTCTGACTGAAAGAAAAATAAATTTTGAATCTATTTCTCTAAAAGTTTGTCTATCGAGAGAATACCACAGAGTGAGAGTTGTCTGCCATTTTATTTTACAGGTAAATTCACAATACACATAAACAAAAGTTTATGTGTATTGTGGGTAAATTAATTGTATCTTCTGTCATCGCTTAGATATCGTCTGACGATATTCTTCTCAGTCTAACAAACCAGTCTGAAACAGCAAAAGGAATGCAGGCAAAAAAAAGTACGATGCTGTTTTGCTGTAATTGCTCGATATTATCGATAATATCGATTTGTTATAAGTTAAATAATTGTTCAAACCGACGCCGACGATGCATCTTCTACAATAGAAAATTAGAAATCCTATAAGATTTAAACACGACAGATATAATAGACTCAAATTGCTATTGATCATTTACAATCAGTCTTTTGATTTAATGCTGCGTCATTTGATAGGCGAAGTTTAATCAAATGGCTGGAATCATTTATAATTATGCGTTTTAACAAAAGAGAATTGGCAAGTTGTTAATTTAACAATCTACGTACTATGTAATCTCCTAATAAGTTCGGGGCTACGATCAATCTAAGAATTTTAATAAAGCATTTTATATAATTGTTATAGAATGATCAATTAACTATCAATCATCTAGTTAAGAGTCCATTTCACTAGTCTGAAAAAGTAGCAAAATAAGCGTTCGGCATTTAACGTTTTGTGTAAAAATGGTTAGGTATTTTTACAGAAATGAAGAAGGAAATTAAAGATAAAGGATTATACGAGGGGTAAACCGCAGAGGGAAGAGTGTACACCGTAATTCCTTTTACTCAAATAATTCCTCAGAATTCCTCGTAATTCCTTCGGAATTCCTTGGAATTCCTGGTCTTCAAGGTCAAGGTCAATCATTCAAGGTCTTCCTTGGAATTCCTTGGTACGAACTCGGTAACTCTTTCAGTCTGAACCAGCGTTGCCACCTCGGTTTCGCAGTTCCGCTATGAATTCTGGTGATTTTATAATCTAATGTCTCTATAAGTACTAGATCTAACAATAAAAAGTACTATTACGAGATTTGTTTTTAGTTAAATTTTAGGACTAATAGGGATCATGAGTAAAAATACTGAAAATATGTCGGCACTTACTTATTAAAAAATTAATTTTCTCGGGATTTTTGAAAATGATAGGTACCTAGTTATACTCGTATCTATAGGAAAGGAAATTAATAAAACTTCAGTTGCACGTCATAATACGATCACCAGTAAATTCCATAAGATTACGCATGGTATCACTGATGAAGTGCACCTAAAGTTGTATTAATTTCCCTATAGTATATACCTAGGTATTATTCCGAGGAAATGAAAAAATCAACTTTACACTTTCTGAGTACTGAATAAAAAAATCTTATGAGGATTTCTTTAAAATGGCGAAATCAGGGAACGTTATAAGTAGATCTCTCGGGGGTGGTTCGGCCGTACTATTGGAAAATATTTTAGATATATAATCGAGGGTACAATATTAAATTAAAAGAATATCTAACCTGCAGATATTTGATATTGGGAAATTTTGGAAGCGAAAATGAAAAACGGATAGTAAAAAATCGTCTGCAAAACGTTTTTCTTTAAATTTAGTACTACCTATTATAGTATTCATGGTTTACTAATGTTCGTTAATTTTTTATAAAGTTGCTTGTAATTCCTCTTAATTCCTGTGGAATTCCTCTAAATTTCTAAGGAATTCCTTGGAATTCATTGGAATTTTTACGGAAATAATTGGAATTCCTAGTAATTCCTATGAATTCCTTGGAATTCCTCAATCCTTGGAGATTTCCTGTAAATTCCTTCATAATTATTACCATAATTCCTCTGCGGTTTACCCCTCGGGATTATACTATGTCGGTATTGTAGCACATTTTTAGATAACTTCTTTATTTTTAAGATTTTGATGGTCAAACATCAACAAAATATACCTTATGTTTGGACTAAATTTTCTCGAAAATAAAGAAATAATCGAGGGGTAAACCGCAGAGGAATTATGGTGTACACTATGAAGGAGGCTAAGGAATTCAAGGGGCTATTCAAGGAATTCCCATAGGAAATACTAAATTATTCCATGAAATTCAATAATTCAAGGAGTCTAGATTCAGAGAGATTCACAGGGAATAGAGGAATTAACAACTTATAAAAATTAACGAACGATAGTAAACCATGAATACTGTGGCAAACAGTATAGAACTGAAAAGCATTTTTGCGAACATTACTATCCGTTTTCTTTCGCTCAAAAATTTCCCAATATCGAGCTATCTGGGTTGAATATTCTTTAATTGTGCCGTCGATATATCTAAAATATTTTCAATGAGCTGACCTGGCCGTACTGTTCGCCATTCAAAACCTCATAGGCCGCATTACTCGAAAGTGTAAGGATGATTCATTTCCTCGGAATCAGGTACTGCTATGGGGAAATGCAACTTTAAATGCGCATCAATGATACCATGCATGTCTTATGGGGCCCGGTGATCGTGGCGACCAGCTGGTTTCAGGCCTCCTTTCTATAGATACGGTATAACTATACTATCATTCAAATCGAGAAAAATAATTTTATGTGAATGCCGACATATTCCAGTATTTTACTCATGATCTATTGATCTAAAATTAACTAAAACGTAATCGTAATATGCACTGACCAGATCAGAAACATTGAACGTTCGTACCAAGGAATTCCAAGGAAGACCTTGAATGATTGACCTTGACCCTGAAGACCAGGAATTCCAAGGAATTCCGAAGGAATTACGAGGAATTCTGAGGAATTATTTGAGTAAAAGGAATTACGGTGTACACTTTTCCCTCTGCGGTTTACCCCTCGGAAATAATTTAAAATTCCGTTACAATACCGACAAAGATTGAAGTTTTGTGATTATAGTGATATATAACTTATATGGTTTTGTAACAAATTGCTCGCTATTTTATGGTAAATGCTGAAGCTCTGCAAACCTTAATAAAGCCTTAATCAAAGCACGTGTGTTTGGAATGTTGTGTGTGGCTTAACACTTAAACTGTGCTACTACTACTACAAGTATTTGTGTAAAAACTACAGTCAAATACACATCGGTTATGTATTAATTGTAATTATTCTTTTTGTTTCAGTACTACGAAATGTCTTATGGGCTCAACGTTGAAATGCATAAACAGGTAAGTCTCATTTTCTCTTTTATAAAAACCCCGTTCCAATCTATTTTGCTCAAGTTTATCCAGCATTTTCCCAACATGTTTGTGTTTGCTTGTTATTCTTGTTTTTTCATCCCCTCAATTCGAATATGTGACCGGAATGTTTGTGTTGCGGATTATATTTCTGACATTTACCTTTTTTCCTTCACAACGAAAAAATATGGAAAACAAAGATTTATTTTCGGGTGGTTTTATATGTACGTTTATTAAGGTACGTACGTTCATAATATTTGGATATATCTCTCTTAGGAATTATTTAATAATATTAAAAAACCATCTTCAGGAAGTTCGGAAAATTGGAAGATGTTTTCTTTACAAAAAGTATGGAAAATAATAAGTTTTATTTTCGTTTTTTTTAATACCTTTATTAAGGTATGTACAGGGTGTCCCATTTTAGTTGAAATCATGGGTTCAATCAAGCTAGCAATGATCTGCTGAGAGTGGGTGCAGACACAGAAAGGAGACACAACAGACTTATATCGTTGATTGAAAGAATTGGGAAGATACGAACCTCATGGGCAAATTCGTGACAAGCCTGATTTTATTTCCCCTTACGTCTTAAGTGCTGTACGGTTGAGCCTCTACTCGTTCTGCGGCCAACGCATCAAACACTCATTTTCTCTAATTTGGCTAGCGAAGGCATGTCGAAGACGGTGTGGAACTGAAAGCGACAGTGTTACAATATTAAAATAGTGTAATATCTGCTTATAAGTTTGACGGAAATATCTTTGGATGAAAAATTCGCGTTTATATATTGACTAATAAATGTTATTTGTGTTAAACTAGAATAAACAACTGAATTAATTCTTTTATAGGTACTGAATATTTTGTATGATCGAAAAAAGTCGTTTAGTTGGCTTGTAAATGACGACTATATTGACATTTACCATAATATTTTACACAATATGATAACAGCCATCTTTATTTCCAAGCCCACTTTGACCCCGTTCTTTCTTTAATCATATAATATTATATTAAATTGTTTAATGATAGAAAATCCGTTTTATTAACGTACTGTACCCAAAATCCGTAAATCTACGGATTAATCCGTAGTCTGACAACACTGTCTCCGGCAACCAGCCACTCTGTCGACTGAAAGTACAGTCTAACAACCGGATCCGAAACAACGGGGCAACGGCAAGGGGATGGCAATTTTCTAAAATCATGACCGATTTCATTCATAAAATATCCACGAGCGTGCGGTGTTTCATAAAAATATATCAGGAATTTTTATAATATTTCCAGTAAAGTTTATAATATTATTTTACTTTAAATGTACCTAGATTTTGTTTAGTCATTTGCCAAATATAGTAATATTTGTTAAAACGCGTGTACTAATTACAATAAACACAAATCAAGTTAAAGATATAAAACACAATACAATAACACCGCCACTGGATTTTTCAATAGTAGTGACTGTTTCTACTATTCCTAGAGAGGGGTATAAAGTCGGGGGTAATGGCGACAAGACGTGCGAGAATCTCGACCAATCAGACTTGTTGAATCCGGGATGCCATGATGAATTTTGTCAGCGTTGCCAGCTTACCTTAAGCGGATGTTATCTTAAGGAAATACTTTACCTTTTATAATAGGCAGAATGAACGAAATCAGTTAATTAGATAAATATACATTATTACAATAAGAACTACGTCAACATATTAGCATATATATAATTATGTATGCTGAAATGAACTAAAATATATTCAATTTATAGGTAATATTGAGGAACTTTGCTTTTCTATAATTAAACGTGACAACGTCGACTTTTTTTCCCGAATTCCTTCCGCTGTTTTAGATTCGTTTGTCAGATAATACGGTACTATGTCGACTAGAACTACAGTACAGTATTCTTTATCCGCTGCGCTGTAAATTATTATTAGCGCGCAGCGGCGCAGAGCTATACTAAATTCCGGATAGGTTTTGTGACACGAAATCGTACCATAAGATTGCGCATCTTCAATCAATGCTTATACAGGGTGCTACAAATTCGGGGTACGCGCATTAGTATCTCGGAAACCGTAACAGATACGAAGATAGTTAAATCGGGGCAAAGTTGCGCCTTGGAATGGTCACCAAGATGCCAGGAATAAAGTTTTAAAAATTTCAAGGATTGCTGAGTTTTTTGGAAAAAACGGATTTTTTTGAAAATCAATTTTATTTTTTCCTGTAGTTACTTTAAAGAAAATAAAAATTCAAAATCTGAAATAAAAAATGCAGATCCGTATTTAAAAAAATTAAGTTGGCCTCTGTATCTCAAAAATTATCAGCTAATTTGGAAATCTAAAAATACTATCAGATAACCCTAATAAAGTGGCTACGAGAATGTGCAATTAGTTTTTTGATTTTCTAAAAAGTAACGAAAGGAAAAAATAAAATTGATTTTCAAAAAAATCCGTTATTTCCAAAAAACTCAGCAATCTTTGAAATTTTTAAAACTTTTTTGATTGCATTCTACACTCATCTCTACTCATAAGTGAGAAACCCATAAACACACGAAAATGAGACACCCTGTACAATAATTCAGCAAAAATTCCCTTTAAACCATAAAAACCTAAAAAAAAAATCCCCAAACTACGACGATTTTTTTCGTTCTCTCTAAAACTCATCTCTTTAAAAGCCTGCTCGTCATCACATCTACCCTTTTACGCTCAACAAACACCACCCCATCGTCGAATTAAAAAAAATCCGACCAAAAAAATAAACACCGAGAAACATCAGAGGTGCTGGAAAGGATCGAAAATTAAAAAGCCACCCCTACTGAACAAACCCATCATCCCCTCTATGCATATATCGTAAAATTGAAATCACGGCCGGCATTTAGCGGCCTACCGAGGGACGCTTCCTCACCCTTCTTGCCTTCACCCTCTCGGTAAAAGGGGTTCGGGCAAACACACACTTACATATGCAAACAAGGGAGGGTGTCTTGTATGTACCACAGGCAATTAACACGCCCTTCGTAGTAGGCCGTGGGGGCTGCTGCTGCGATGCCCTACGGCTCTTGTGCGTGTGTGTGGGTGTGTCTGGGAAGGACCGGAGGGAATGAGGCCGTTTAAGGGTGATGTTTGAGAACGTCTACAAACTTATTTCCTCTTGGAGCTGTGTTATCAAGTAGGCTTCAAAAGAAAGGTAGCTTTAAAAAATATAAATTAAAAGAATATACTCTATACTTAAAGTTATCCTTATACTTTACCTTTAAAAATGTAAAAAGGTATTTTTAGGGTTCCGTTTACCCTTTTACTAAGACTTCACTGTCCGTCAGTTCGTCCGTCTGTCACAAAGGTCTATCTTATGAACCGTTATAGCTAGACAGTTGAAATTTTCACAGATAATGTATCTATGTTGCTTCTATAAGAACAAATACTAAAAACAGAATTAAATAAATGTTTATAAATAAAAAAAGTACTTTCACTAAACATTATCTTTTAAGTAAGAATTTTACATAGAATCTTTCAAGTCCTTGGTGGCCGCGTGGTTAAAGCGTTAGGACTTTACGCTGCTATGACGTGGGAGCCGTAGTAAGGGAAGTTCAAATCCTAGTCAAGGCGATTAAGTAAGAATTTTACATAGAATCTTTCAAGTCCTCGGTAGCCGCGTGGTTGAAGTGTTAGGACTTTACGCTGCTATGACGTGGGAGCCGTAGTAAGGGAAGTTCAAATCCTAGTCAAGGCGATTAAGTAAGAATTTTACATAGAATCTTTCAAGTCCTCGGTAGCCGCGTGGTTGAAGCGTTAGGACTTTACGCTGCTATGACGTTGGAGCCGTAGTAAGGCAAATTCGAATCCTAGTCAAGGCGATTAAGTAAGAATTTTACATAGAATCTTTCAAGTCCTCGGTAGCCGCGTGGTTGAAGCGTTAGGACTTTACGCTGCTATGACGTTGGAGCCGTAGTAAGGCAAGTTCGAATCCTAGTCAAGGCGATTAAATAAGAATTTTACATAGAATCTTTCAAGTCCTCGGTAGCCGCGTGGTTGAAGCGTTAGGACTTTACGCTGCTATGAGGTCGGAGCCGTAGTAAGACAGGTTCGAATCCTAGTCAAGCCGACTTTTTTTTAATCGTTTTTTTTTTAATTTCTACATATTTTTACATATTTATTTTTACTTTTTACATATTTATTAACACAATTTTTAGTAATGTGTTTCTTCATTTTTTTTTAAATTACTTAGACGCGCATTTAAAATATCAGCTAAATCGGAAATGTATAATGTTGTATAAATAATGAATGGTACGGAAACCCTTCGTGCGCGAGTCTGACTCGCGCTTGACCAATTTTTTAGTATACTAGTTTCTCGGTATGTTTCTTGCAAAAAGCGTGACAGTTTTTCTTTGTTTACCAAAATTCGAAAAAAACGGACAAAATGCATCTAGAGAGTCTGCTCCTCATTTGGACTTAGATAACCATAAGCTAACCATAACGTAATTTTACATAAGAATTAGAAAGTATGGTGCTTCAAGAATTTTTTATAGACCAGTGATGTTCGCGCGAACCGTTTGTTCGTGCGCGCGCTGTGCGTTTTATTTGTTCGACCTAAATCGATTAAAAATTAAATATAAACATCCCCAATAATAAAGCGCAACCCATCAGCATCCCACACAAACTCGCTTAAATAATTCCCCTAAACACAATCCAATTCCACTATTACCCCAAATCAAAATTCACAAGCCCCATCCCCCACTCTAGGTCCAATTTTATTATCGCCCCGTTTCATTCCACCCTTAATAGCATTCGAAATACGTTCGGGGACTTCATTTCAACCTCCACGTCCCCTACCCCTAAAGCATCCCCTTCTCACACTGCCGGATCGGTAATGAATAGTCAAGTAAGACGGGAGAAGTAAGGGTGGCAGGATAAAATTACTCACTCGACCCCTACGTTACGTAGGCAGACCACGTAGGGAGCGTCCCAATTAAGGAATAGGGGAGACGCGGTGCAACGAGCGCGCGGTCTTAGGGGACTCGGTGGCAT